TATCTGCTGTTGTGGAACGTGATCCTTCTTTATGCACGACACACAGATAGCTGTGACAAGGGCTATGCCCGCGGGTACAATGGTGGACACAGTATACACAGCGTGTAAGTCATTCCCTACCATATAAATTGGTAGTATAAGCACAAGACCCAGAATCCACGGGACGCAACTGATAGCCAACCCCCTCAGTATATCTGTTTTAGTTTTCGTTCTTTGACTGTTTGATCTACAGCGGTGAATATACTCAGCTGATAAAACAACGAGCCCAGTTCCATGGACAAAGTTGATGAGATGTGTTTGGTAAACATCAGATGTGATCCATAATCTATAAGTTAACTCCTCTTTTGCGAAATCTTGAAACACATACCTTGTTGATATCACCAATGAAAAAAGAGCCAGGAAAATGTCACCTATGGACAACGACACCAGTAAAAGATATTTAGCGCTGTAGAAAAATTGTTTCTGCAACAAAATTATGAAGATCAACGCCCCGTTGCACAGTACAATAAGGATGATGAAAATGATGTAAAGAGCTTTTTTTGATTTTAATAAAGCATCGATGTCTAAGTCTTCGTTATTCATTACATCCATTGCGTGTTGTTTCTTTTCTTTCTGTGATGAAGAGCTAAAATAAAATAAAAAATAAATAACTTTGATATGTGTAATGGTTTACCGTGTATATTTACTTGTTTACGTTTTTGTTTTGCATTAATATTAATAGTATCGAATGCATTCATTTATTTTGCTACGTTATTCTTTAGTCCTTTTTTAAAAAATTAATAATTTTGAGAAGAAATTGCTTTCTTATTTGCTTAGTACAAAACTATTTAAATGAGCTTTATGTGCACCACATTTAGACTTTAAAGAGCACCGATAAGTTTTGGAAGAAGTTTGAAGATTTGCCTCTCTTTACCAATACACTGTAGTTCTTTTTGTCTATACAATGGCAATAGTGTGTTAGTTACTGAAATAAAATCACTTCTGTATTAGATCTGTTTTTTTTAATAAAACAGTTAATGGACTATCCCCCCTCTCCCCCCCCCCCCCCGTAGGTCTGTCGGTATGGTAGTTCCTACACTGAAGGATAAAGAAGCTATTTTAACTATGGTGGAATGAAGTTCGACACTAGTTTAATCTATCACCTAGAGCGATTGAATGTATTTACAAATAAAGACACGGATCTAGTTCTATAGATCAAAGTACAAAAAAAAAAACATTTGCGTTGTGTGTACATTTTAGATTAAAATTATAAAAGCCCCATTAGTCGAATATATATATTAGATTATCGATTTTAGAGCAATATGGACAATACAATAAAACAGAGATTACATCGATAAAAGTAATGCACAATAACTAAAAACAGTGTTTCTTCCAGGCATCTGTCCCCCCCCCCCCCCAAGAGAGAGTCTAACGACTGTGTTTTATACAGCAAAAATATACTTTTAATAATTCCCCCCACTCCCGAAAATTTTAATCCGCTTCCTACACCCCCACCCATCCCCGAAAATTTCAATTGCCCGCCGCCCCTCAGGGAGAAAAAAGTCTGGAAGAAACAATGACAACAAAAGCACAAAGCACAATTGTGATGCACAAATTCTTATGTAAAAAAATCTTTAATAAAAAGGCGTATCGATCCTTCCCGGCGCCCGGGCACAAACTTTTCCATTTGCATCCCCCACCCCTCAAACTCTTGATTTGCAACCCCCCCCCCCCTCAAACTTTAAATTTGTTTTTCCAACCCATTTGGCGCCCCCTGAGGTCAGCACCCGGGGACATAATTCCCTCCCTTGCTACGCCTCTGATACTAACATGTGTTGATAAACGTCCTTTGTAAAATTAAATTTTATAACTATTTAAATTACAGTTTTTTTGGTTGTTGTTCGTTTTTTTTTGTAGGCAAAATATTATTCTTTTTTTTTCTTTACGCAAATCGCTAACAAAAAGAGCTAACTTATTAAAATCGATTACCGAATAAATTATAAAATGTATTTTGATTATTAAGCATATTTTTATAGTTGAATAATTTGTTGCTTTATTTAAAATATATATATATTTTTTAACTTTAGGAAAAAACAATACCTGTAATCAAATCTTTATGGGAACAATTTTCTCAAGTTAATGAAGATTTTGAATGTAAATGTTTCCAGTGATTCTCCCTCTCTGTCTCTAGTTTCTATCACTTGAGAAGTATTATTACACTACGAGCAACGAGTGCACACTCAAGGTGAATAACCTGTCGCGGGTTCTTTCGTTGAGACTGCTTAGGAATGAGGTCAGGCTCAATTTAAAAGGTTAGCAATCTGGGTCGAGAAATCGCCATTGGTTAACTTACAGGTCCAATCGTAGTTTTGGAAACAAAACTGGGGAAATATTTGGTATCTAAAAATAGATTCCGACCTATTTTTCAATTTCGACGCTTCTGACTCACTCATGGTTGAATGACTATAAAATAACAAATACGATAAAGCGAATCCGGGTCATGCCTTTAGTGCGGGTAACTGTATAAGTAAAAAATCTAAACTCACCGGTAGATAATTTTGACGGTACACTGTTTTTGTATAGGGATACCTGATACACTTGTTTTTGATAAATAAGTGACATTTTGATGACTACATTTTAAAAAAAAATTCGGTATTAATACCTTTTAGGGAAAAAAAAAAGTCAAAGAAAAAACAACAACACATAAACAAAATTACAGAAGAAAAGTTCACAAATGCCACAAATGTGTATTTTCATGGACTTTGTTAATACTAGTATATATTAAATATTTAGTAAAGCAACGCCCAGTTTATAATCTTTTAACATAACTATGTGGTAGGTTCAAACTAGGGTGTAGTCGATACTGGTGTAATACCTACACTCCCCGTTTCTTCACACCTTCCCCACCCCCAAACCCCATGACCCATATTAACGGCAAAATACCCTTTATAAATTAATGATTTGGTCGACCCAACCCCCCCCCCCCCCCATCCCTCCCATAGGGGTTTTTCAACATGAACCTTTATTCCATTAAATTTTAATGGTTGTATTTTTATTTGTAATAACGCGCATTAGTTTATTTATTCATGTATTTTGATTAACCACACTACAAATATTGTTTCCTTTTGATTATTTCTGGTGATTTCTGTAACTTCTTTGTAATTACTTTACAAAATTGTACATATTGTAAACAAATGTTAAACGAGCACATTGACTCCAATGTGTACAATTGTAAAAACTTTTGGTTTTTCCTGTTAAATAGTTATATATTATATAAATAGTGTTGATGTTATTGTAATTGGTTTATTATTGGAAATAGAAGTATTTAATACATTAAATAAATAAGAATGTAAAGAAAAAGAAGAAAGATAAAAAGCATCTTATGTAGTATAAGTGATTTTGTCTGTATTCTGGTCATGCAAATATTTTGCCCTGGTGTTTGAAAGCTCATGCATACTAAGTTCTCGTTTGGGAACACAAGTCCAGATTGTAATTTAAGTTTATGTTAAACTGTAAACAAATAAGGTTCTATAACTGTAGTTAATCATGCTGATTTATTCTTGTATTTGCATGGTGTAATACTGATATTATTTAAGAGCTGCGATCGTATCAAGAGCAAGCTGTCTGTGTAATGTATCTGCTACATCTGTTTTGCTGATGACGAACCAGACAATAGTAGCTAATAGACATGTATGGACATTTTTCAAAATGTTTAATACACTTATATATCTGAATAAATAACGTAAGAACTTAAATGCATTTTTTATTCCGTAGGAGGTGGTAGAGACGCTGACAAAACGAAAATTCAGGTGACTGTATTTAAGAAGCTGTGCTAAAAGGAATTGGAAAAAATGTTAATGTTCTTTTTTTTTAAAATCCATTAGGTAAAAACGAAAAACGAAAAATTCATTTATTAAATTACAAAAACTAATGTGTTTGTATTTGAAAGAAATTGCACATTCATGCAATGATTAGATTACTGGTCTTTTTTTAAACTATATATATATATATATATATATATATATATATATATATATATATATATATATATATATATATATATATATATAACGCGTCAAATTAGTAGCTTTTGTGACTTTTTTTCCTACAGTCGGTCTAGACGCCCCCCCCCCCCCCCCTCCTACCCCAGCAGGGCTTACAAATTGGTAGCACGAGTGGGGTCAGTGCTTTAGTCTAGGTAAATATTTTTTTAAACTAGGGCTAGTGTAGCTTAGTGGTTAAAGTTTTGTTTTTGATTGGCCCCTTTGGAACCATATGTGTCTAGTTTGTTTAGAGTAGGGATTTTTCAAACACCCAGTCAGGTTGGCGGAGAGACGGGCCTCAGTGAGCCTCCAGTGTGACTGGACAAAGCACGGCGTGTGGCGCAGAATCTGGCGTGTAAGGCAGACCAGTGGCTCAGCAATGTGGATGACAGGCTGGACAATGCAGATGGGCGTGGCACGGATCTGGTGTGTAAGGCAGACCGGTGACTCAGAGAACGGTGGCAGTCGACCTACCTACCAATGGCCTGTGGCGTCAAACCCTTGATCCACAAAGATTGCTAACTGGACACTCGCCCCACACAAGTGTCGAGGCGGACGCACGATCATCGATTGCGTGCACAATCCGAGAGCCAGTGGTGCAAGACGGTTGCGTCATCTCTAGACCAACTGAGCGGCTAAGCGGACACCTTACCGGTGGACTTAGGCCAGATACACGGTGTGTTGTGTAATGATGTATTTAGTAGCAGGCTGGTCTAGACGCCCCCCTCCCCCAGCAGGGCATATATATATATATATATATATATATATATATATATATATATATATATATATATATATATATATATATATATATATATATATATATATATATATACATACATACACACACACACATATATATATATATATATATATATATATATATATATATATATATATATATATATTAAATGTATAGTAAAGAGAATATTTAATGTCACACAAAGATATATCCACAAACTTAAGCGCATGATGCCACCCTATCAACAACGTTCTTTCTTCTTATATATCAACTTCACCCAGTGAATACAAGTACCCATTTATTGCCTGCATCTGTTTAACCTTTACTTCTCCAGCCTTTAAACCCAACGTCACCACAAGTCTGTGACGTATTTGTGTGACGCAGCAACCAGCGCGGTGACGATTGGCCGTAATAGAATCAGCCACATCATGTCGTCTGCCACAATGACGCGCGTCATGGGCTGACGGGCGTCACCAGGATTCAGACTCTGGGTGTGTAGAAGGAAGTAGCCGGCCCGGGGGGTCACAAGACAGCAGTAGAGTAGCGTCAATGAGAGCAGGGTATGGGTTTCTGTGTAATGAGGGCCTGTCCTGCTGGAGGGGGTTATGTCATGGTTGGCTGGAGAAACCGCTGGACACACTTCATGACAACACAGTCTGATGTTTAGATTGACCGATAGGTCTGGTGTGGTTTCCAGTTTCTCTCTATAGCTCCAACTTATTTTGTCTCTTTCCTCTTGTTTATCTTTGAACTTACACAGCATATTATTCGTTTGTTTAGTTGTATCGTCTGTTTTTACACATATGACGTAGAGTATTGATAACAGAGCCAAACAAGCCGGTGCTAGTGTTGATAAAACCAACTGGGCTCTCATCAGATCCGGGGTGTAACCAAAGTTGTACATGTAGCAGGTAGCTGTGGGGACGGTGATTGGCAGCACTATGACTAGCCCGACACCCCAGGGTAGGCAACTCACAACGACCCCTTTAACAACCGACGTAAGAGTTGTCGTTACTTGATGACGTCGCCAGATTACCTCGGCTGATAACATGATTAAACCAATGCCGTAGATGGCGTTGGCCAGGTAATTTCTGTACACTGTTGCAGGTAGCATAAAACTACAGGTAGATTCACCAGGCAGGTACTCACGGAACGTTGTGTATCGGACAGCGACTAGAGTGGCCACGCCCAACAGGACGTCCCCACAAGACATGGAGACCAGAATCAGACATTTTGGTCTATGCAGGTAGTGTGTCACTCGCGTGAGTTTTATAATTAAACACAAATTGGTTATTATAATCAATCCTGTGAAAATTGTCAGCATTATTTCAGCGAATTTTTGGTATACAATGGAATCACCCCCATAACTCATGACTGTTGTACCAGCTATAAAATCCACAAATGTTGAACGAATATGAAGTTGTTAAATGCTCTGAGTTCAGGTGATGGTCGCAGTTTTGTTGACGGTCAAAAGATCATATAATTCTGTTGATGATAAACAAGACTATTTATTAGAATGAGAATCGTAAACTATTGTTATGCTCACTTAACATCGTATTAAGCTATATTTTCTGATACATAAAATACGTAATATGAAATTATTATTTATTAGTATAGTAGAGATCGAAATGAATTTGACGAGTTTTTGTTTCTCTTCTATTGTTCAATGTGTCTATATGGTGGTGAATTCTATGGTCTCAGCCGGTCTCATTATGAAGCTCTGAGGGCATTGGACAGTAAAGGTTGGGTGTTAGAACGCTGTAGTGTTAGACCGAATGTCTCAAGTTCGGTTCTCGGTCCAGACTGAAAACTGTTCGACGTATGTGAGTCCAGCCAGTTCTGGTGGAAAACTGACACAGTGAAAACAGATCCGCAAACTGCTTACCAAACAACTTTTTTCATATTCAGAAACTGGTTTGCCCTGTGGATCGTTAGGTCTAAAAGGGGACTTACGAAAGACCCGGATGTAGTGTGTATAAGAACATGTATTTGTATAAGCTAGTTTAATAATTGGACTTTATTTTACCATGAAATAAACAGTAGGGGTCTCGAGCCGCAAAGTGCGATTCGTGGTCCCAGGTAAAGAATTCTTGAGCCGCATTCTGCGGCTCATGGGACGGATTGAGTCAATCGGGTGACACATGACGGTTTAAACTGCCAGGTTTACAGAACTTATTTGCATTGTATAGATCCTTGCCTTATAGTTTTTATTTGCGCGATTATAAATTTCGCTAGGTTCGAAATTGTTCTGCCCTTTTTTTAAATGCTATTAATGATGCTTAACGTAACACATGGAGAATTTTCAACATTTTTTGGAAAATAAAAAATTATATTTTTAATATTTGTATATATATATATATATATATATATATATATATATATATATATATATATATATATATATATATATATATATATATATTTATATATATATATATATATATATATATATATATATATATATATATATATATATATATATATATATATAAAATAGTATTAGTGACTACGTAAATCAAATAAAAATAAATCAGGAGTGATCTCCCCTTTGAATAACTTATTTTTTTTTAAATAGAATAAAATCTCGTAGAAAAAAGAATTGAACACCAAGTGAACGCCAAATAAAATGTGCATAATAGTGCGTAATATTATTAGTACTTTATAAATTCACATGCTATTTTTGAGAAATCGGAAATAACGAGAATTAATACTGCCGGTCAACGGAAATTACTCAAAATTTTGATAGAAGGCAGAGAATTTAATCTTTTAATTACATGTGAAATTTCATTTATCTATCTGAAATAGTACACCAAATTATAGGCTTTTGAAAATTCAAAGTAGAAATAGTTCCACTTCCGGTTATCGGAAATCGCTTAAATTTGAGATAATACTTATATATCACCCTAGCTGTAACGGTACTCAAGTTATCGTGTTTACAGACACACCCACCGACACACAGACACATACAGAAACACACAGAGACATAAGGAGAAGATTGCAAAAAAAAAAGTTTAAAAAAACATATCACACAGGCTGTTAATTTTGGTGAGCATTCAACGTATAAATTTAAAACGCCTTACCTTATACCAACCACGGGATGTGAGTGTCAGAGATGAAAATGTACGAAGTGTAATACCATCTGAGCTCGTGTTTCGACAAGCAGGCTCTAAGCTTACAGACGACAGATGTGAATGTATTACGTTTATTGTTATACGTTTTGTTTTGCTCATAGATTCTTCATTGATTAAATTTTATGTACCTAACAGATATAATATATATATTTTTACCAGTACATTTGTAGACTTAGATTTTATCACGTTTAACGTTTTAATTTTTTTCAAGTGAATGGGGCACACAAATTGAACCGGTTTGTTTTTGTCTTGCTGGTTGAAAGAGGGTTAATGTTCCTTCATTTTAAGGTGTTAAATCAATCAACATTTGGCCTGCTGGCTATGAGAGAAAGATTGGGGTGTTGCATATTATATGTCTGTATTGTACGTTGTACATGTTGTGTAACGTATAGTCACACGCATGTGTACATTTAAGCGGGAGAGACATCGTTCTAACATGGGACAAACTATTTGTACTATAATTAATGAAACACTGTCATAGCTTGCTGTTCCTACATCTTGTCCAGGGACCACTTTCTACATATTTTAACAAAACTGACCACTTTCTACATATTTTAACAAAACTGACCACTTCCTACCAATTTTAACAAAACTGACCGCTTCCTACATCTAAACACAAAACTGACCACTTCCTGCATATTTTCACAAAACTGACCACTTCCTACATATTTTAACAAAACTGACCACTTCCTACATCAAACCAGAAAAACCTGATTAGTTCATTAACCTCATCACTAAATTTAACGATTCCTACATCAAACCACAAAACTGACCACTACCTGCATTAAACCACAAAAATTACCACTTTCTACATCTAAACACAAAACTGACAACTTCCTACATCTAACCACAACACTGACCACTTCCTACATCTAACCACAACACTGACCACTTCCTACATCTAACCACAACACTGACCACTTCCTACATCTAACCACAACACTGACCACTTCCTACATCTAACCACAACACTGACCACTTCCCACATCGTATTGATTACTTCTTTGTTTTTTCCCCTTAGGAGCAAGCTGTTGCTTACTTCTTTACATCCGTCTAATGGATATTATATGTTTGTATTATCGTATTTCTATTAACGTAGGTAATAGTCTGTTAGAACTCTCATTATTTTTCCTAACATCAAGCCTTTTAAAAAAAATTGTTTTCCCTTTTTTATTTTATCGTTATAGTTTGTATAACTGCCTTACAATATCGTTACTTTGAATACGTACATTAAAATGTCCTTACTTTAAATAGCTACATAGCATTGTCCTTATTTTATACAGTTTCATTACCATGACTTTACTTTGTATAGCTTCAATACAAACTTCTTATTTTGTATAACTGATTTTAATGTTTCTATAGACGACAAGCACCATGTTACGACAAAATTTGTGTTCTATTTTTAAAAAATCAAGCTGATAGGTCTAAAAGTTGTTTCTTCATTAGTAAAGACTTATTTTCAAACAAATCTATTCCTGCTGAATGTATAAATAGCACTACGCCATCGTTGACCTAGATACAATCCACTATTGGCGTTACCAAAACACCCGGATATAACTGTCACTTGTAAACAAACTAGGCCCGCTACACACAAGTGGGCTACGACCCTCACATGACCCGGATTTAGAACGCTCGAGGTCGTTAAAAGTTCGGGCGTTGGGAAAGGTGTTATTTTGACGTCATAACTTAATTTTTTGTGTGGAAATAAATTATTTTTCTTCCGAAGTGACTCAGAGTTAAATAACTGGCGTACGTGTGTTTTATATGTGGTGGCCTAAAGTAGACGGTGAGCCGAGCTCGAGAAACAATATGTTGCATTAGGAAATTGTTTTTACTTAGAACATGGAGAAACAACTTTTAACTTGAATGAAGAAACGACTTGGAACATGACAAAACAACTAGGTAAACGTAGTGTAATTTGGGATATAAAGTGTAAGTTGGGATATAAAGTGTAAGTTGGGATATAAAGTGTAAGTTGGGGTATAAAGTGTAAGTTGGGATATAAAGTGCAAGTTGGGATATAAAGTGTAATTTGGGATATAAAGTGTAAGTTGGGATATAAAGTGTAATTTGGGATATAAAGTGTAAGTTGGGATATAAAGTGTAAGTTGGGATATAAAGTGTAATTTGGGATATAAAGTGTAAGTTGGGATATAAAGTGTAATTTGGGACATAAAGTGTAATTTGGGACATAAAGTGTAAGTTGGGATATAAAGTGTAAGTTGGGATATAAAGTGTAAGTTGGGATATAAAGTGTAAGTTGGGATTTAAAGTGCAAGCTGGGATATAAAGTGTAATTTGGGATATAAAGTGTAAGTTGGGATATAAAGTGTAATTTGGGATATAAAGTGTAAGTTGGGATATAAAGTGTAATTTGGGATATAAAGTGTAATTTGGGATATAAAGTGTAATTTGGGATATAAAGTGTAAGTTGGGATATAAAGTGTAATTTGGGACATAAAGTGTAATTTGGGACATAAAGTGTAAGTTGGGATATAAAGTGTAAGTTGGGATATAAAGTGTAATTTGGGATATAAAGTGTAAGTTGGGATATAAAGTGTAAGTTGGGATATAAAGTGTAAGTTGGGATATAAAGTGTAATTTGGGACATAAAGTGTAATTTGGGACATAAAGTGTAAGTTGGGATATAAAGTGTAAGTTGGGTTATAAAGTGTAATTTGGGATATAAAGTGTAAGTTGGGATATAAAGTGTAAGTTGGGATATAAAGTGTAAGTTGGGATATAAAGTGTAAGTTGGGATATAAAGTGTAAGTTAGAGATATAAAGTGTAAGTTGGGATATAAAGTGTAAGTTGGGATATAAAGTGTAAGTTGGGATATAAAGTGTAAGTTGGGATATAAAGTGTAATTTGGGATATAAAGTGTAAGTTGGGATATAAAGTGTAAGTTGGGATATAAAGTTTAAGTTGGGATATAAAGTGTAAGTTGGGACATAAAGTTTAAGTTGGGACATAAAGTTTAAGAAGGGACATAAAGTTGGTACATAAAGTTTAAGTTGGGACATAAAGTTGGTACATAAAGTTTAAGTTGGTACATAAAGTTTAAGTTGGTACATAAAGCTTAAGTTGGGACGTAAAGTTTAAGTTGGGACATAAAGTTTAAGTTGGGACATAAAGTTTAAGTTGGGACATAAAGTTTAAGTTGGGACATAAAGTTTAAGTTGGTACATAAAGTTTAAGTTGGTACATAAAGTTTAAGTTGGGACATAAAGTTTAAGTTGGGACATAAAGTTTAAGTTGGGACATAAAGTTTAAGTTAGGATATAAAGTTTAAGTTGGGACATAAAGTTTAAGTTGGGACATAAAGTTTAAATTGGGACATAAAGTTTAAGTTGGTACATAAAGTTTAAGTTGGGACATAAAGTTTAAATTGGGACATAAAGTTTAAGTTGGTACATAAAGTTTAAATTGGGTCAGGAAGAAAGAACTTTGGACATAAAGATTTGTTTACGACATGAGGGTCGGCGTGGTCGAGTCGGTAAAGCTCATGGTTGCTAAACCGAAAAGTCTCGAGTTCGAACCTTCGGGCAGATGAGGCTCGTTAGCTGGGGACAGCCACTCTTCTAGGAGAGACAACTCCAAAAATAAACAACTGCTGCCTTGTAGTTTGTTCTTGGTTGGACAAAGGCTATGGAAGCAAATCCAAAAAGAAAAGCAGGCTGAAATCGGAGTCAATGGCCTCAATGGCGCATAACCAATTGACACGTAACGCTTAATTGTGTTGGAGGCGTGGTCGAGTCGGCAAAAAAAAAGCTCATGGTTGATAAATTCGAACAAAGTCTCGAGTTCAAACCCACTGGCAGATAAATCTCGATCACCTTCAACACTAATAATTAACAACGAAGAAGAAGAAAAGAAAAGTTTACGACATTAAGATCAATCTGGTAGACGAATATATGTTAATATTCCATAAAGAACTTAATTGTCATCATGATCAAAGTTATTATATCATTATCTACTTAACTGATTAACGTGTGGTCCTATTTTACTCGTTAGATTGCTGTTAGTGTATGTATCACTACACGTAGTTTGTCATCCTAACCAGCGAAGGTTAACGAACCTGAAGACTAAGACGCTGCACTGATCAAGCTGTCTACAATCAATACACGAAGCGTTGAAATCTGGTTTTAAATCCTAAAACTTGATTTCGAATTCGTCGGATAAAAAAAAAACGCACTGAAGTATAGTAGTATTGATTGGCCAATACAAAATCTTTTTGAAATATAGATCTTCAACATCTTGGTTTACAAATAGCTATGTTAGATTATTTTAAAAGAATAATTGTGATTTTATCATATCTATATTAACCTGTAGCGCTTTAACACTTCTCTTGCAATCAGAGGAAACGTTAGTTAAAGTTAGCTTTGTATCTTACACTTGTGGCCGGTACAGCATATAAACCTAGAAGTTAGACGGAGGCTCAATAAACAAACGAGAGCTACAGAGCTAACATGCAGAGCTTAGAAAAGAAAACATTCTGCCAAGCTATGCAGCGATTATGGTAATTGCAAGACCTATACAAGGTATGGCGATCATAAGAACAGACAACAAAGGACAGACAACAAGGTAGAAGAAAAGGGTAAACAACGCTAAAGGAAGTGAATACATTACTGCATTAGCACAATGTTTTTTTTTTGTTTTTTTTTTACCCTCGGCTGGATAGATATTGGCCCGGACTGTTAGGAGATTTATTGATAAAAAATATATTCCGGGAACAAACAATTATTGTTTAATTTTAGAAGTACATTGAACACATGGCCTAAAACTTTTATAGCACCATTAGTGCATGGCCTAAAACTTTTATAGCACCTTGAACACACGGCATACAACATTTATAGCACCTTGAACACACGGTCTACAACATTTATAGCACATTGAACACACGGCCTACAACATTTATACCACATTGAACACATGGTCTACAACATTTATAGCACATTGAACACACGGCCTACAACATTTATAGCACATTGAACACACGGCCTACAACATTTATAGCACCTTGAACACAT